ACAGTTGAATGACTGGGAGATAACAAGATTAGCTGACCTTTACAAAGAGCTGGAAGCATTTAAAGGATTACAGGAAGGGTTTGATTCACTTTGGTGGCAGAGGCACAACAGAGGGGTTTACCGGGTGAAGGATGCATATAAGATTTTGAATCATAATAATCAACAGGTAGACCCATGGCCTTGGAAACATATATGGAAAACAAAGATTCCATACAAGGTAGCATGCTTCACTTGGCTACTAGCAAAGGAGGCGGTATTAACCCAGGATAATCTCATAAAAAGGGGAATTTCTCTGTGTTCAAGATGTTTTCTATGTGGGGAAAATGCTGAAACTGTCACCCATTTATTTCTACATTGCAAGATTATAGACCAACTATGGAAAATCTTTATTAGTCTTAGGGGTATTTCATGGTCAATGCCATACAGGCTTAAAGATGTTCTTTATAGCTGGGAAGAAGCTGGAGCTGAAGCAACTAATAGAGATAGATGGAGGATTGTCCCGGCTTGTATATGGTGGACAGTTTGGAGGGAAAGGAACGCTAGATGTTTTGAAGATAGAAGCAATCCAGTGCAGAAGATCAAACTCAATTGTATTCTTCTTTTTTGTTTTTGGTGTAAAAAGATTTACACAGAAGATACATTGACAATCATAGACATACTAGGATCTTGCTAGGTCTCAAATCAGAACATCTACAAATCCTCTTCATGTAAATTTGGTTTTCAGTGCAACCTATGTACTGATGTTTTTAATATATACAATAGTTATCAATTCAAAAAAAAAAAAAAAGAATGGTTCCAACTTCCAAGCTCTTATATCAACAACAAAAACAACAACAACAACAACATCAACAACATTAACAACAACATACCCAGTATAATCCCACAAGTGGGGTTTGTAGAGGGTCGTGTTCACATAGACCTTACCCCTATCTTGGGTAGGTAGAGAGGCTATTTCTGATAGACCCTCTTATATCCTATGCTTTTAATGGCTAAGATGTGAACCTATTTGGATGAGTTAATAAGCTGTCGAAATTCAATAAATATTTGCTGTTGTCCTTTTGGTTATAAATTATCTGTATTTTTGAGGAAATGTTTAACTTACTTTTTGGTTTGGGGATGGGGGTGGGGAAGGACCAACACTTGATACTGTAATCTTGCTTATAGGATTTTGCTACTTGAGCCAGTTTCTTCAGCATGGTGTTGGTCAATAATAAATATTAATTTTGAGATGTAGCATCGATGGATTGTTGAAGGCTTGGAGTTATCTTTTGGTAGGTTAATTTAGCAATTAAATGAACATATTGACCAATTCCTGCAAACAGGCTTCCCTCACATGTTCTATGAATGGATCATTCTCATTCAAAACTTACCAGACAGAAGTGTCAAATTGTTCTCATTTTTATTGTCAAGCAATGCAAACTATATTATCTCTTTCTACAGAAATACAGTTCTACTTTTTATTTTCTTCATTGGTGTATTTTTTGTTGTGTCTGGCTCAAACAGGTTTTTAAGCGCTTACTGTGTTAAGAGTAATTTCAAATTATCCAAAAAAGATTTAAAAAATATTTTTTAACTTTTAGTAATTAGATTCTTGTCATTCTGAAAAGTTTTCGAGATTTTACTCCATACTTGTGATGCCATTCTTTCGTCATCAGGTCAAAGATATGATGGATCTGCATTCTGCACATATGGCATACCTGGATGACTCCGTGCACATGTAAGATCAGCTCACGTGGCCACTTTTCTTACTCCCCC